ATATATATATATATATATATATATATATATATATATATATATATATATATATATATATATATATATTCACACTCTAATATATACATAGAACCATGCATCTCCGTCCCTCCGATCAGGCGATCGTCTTTGTCCATTTTCGGTCACCATCTCCGACCAACTCCAAAGGTCACTATCTCCAACCATCACCTACCCTTTGCTCCGATGAACCACCACTCTTTCTCACTGAACTGCATCGATCATCTGTCGTCGGATCATCGATCATATTTCAGATTTATTTTACTAAATTTACATTATTGTTTGTAAGATGTTTATGATTCCAGTTGTTATTTCTCGATGTTCAATATTTATCACAACCTAGACAAAGTAGTGTGTAACATGTCAAATGCTCCATGCAATACAATCTGGATTCAAACAAATTAATCTCTAAAGAAATTCGTTAAGGAAGAAAAAACACACGTATTTCCATCATTATACACGTTTAATTGCATATAATTTTTTTTAAGTATATAATATTTATATAAAGCAAATGCAACAAATAAACTCACACACCCTCCTCACCTAAAAGCGCTTTGGTTTAATTGCATATAAATTGTTAGTTACATACCGCGATAATCATATAAGAGACCTCATCATCCCATACCAGATGGGTGAGTCATGAGTGATCGAGCATTTGATGATGATGCGGTGACGATCTAGACCATAACAGATGGGCGATCAGTGTACCGAACAGAGAAGGATCTAGAAAGGATATCAGGACTACGACATTCCAATCCCTGATCGAAATTCTGCGCGTAAGTATGCTCATCATAAGGAACTTGATGAACATGCACCGATGAGGATCTAACCATGAACCTCGTATTTTCTCTCTTCAGTTTCTTCCACAGCACTTTCCACACAGACTGCGACAAACCACTCGAACCAAGTTGGCCATAGGTGTGATCGGGTTTAACCGTTTTGCTGCACCATTTCTTGATGTCCATGGTTGGTGGTTTCATGATAATTGAATGTGGCATGCATATATGTATATAGTTATATACATAGATGATGGTCAGAATCGACAAGCAGGGCCAGGTAAAAGTCAACAAATCCTGGTGTGTTAGTCAAACATATTCTACTCTAGTTTCCTTATTCTATTTCAAGAAATTGCAAAGCAGCAACATGTTTTTGACATCAAACCAGATTGAAAACCGTTGAATAAAAAAACTGTGGGGGCTTTTTTGTTTTTAAGTAGCATTTAAAAAGAATCATCATCACACAACTTAAGGATATGTTTTAGAGTAATAATAATAATAAAAAAGAAGAAATAATAAAAATTCTGCAGCTGTTACATTCATTCAGTGTCAACAACTCTTACAAACAAAGGAGCTGCAGTTGTTGAGGTATTTCATGTATCGATCAGGTCAGATTCTTGACTATACACCATTTGGCTCCGACAACAAACATAGAGATAGATCCACCCGTCGCTCGGTTAGGGCAGCCCGACTAGATTCTGTACATAAAGTTAAATACGCTTCCGTAACAAAAGCAGCTCATCCTTTTCATTTCATTTCATTTCATTGCATTGCATGCCCACCTGTTCAAAAACCGTAAACAAACCATGTCAAATCAGTCCAACACATAATCTTCTCAAAACATTTTAATGAAGAACTTGATAAAACAAGAACTGTATAGAGATTACGTCTGCATACATCCATAGAATAGAATCCCCCTTTTTTCTGGCTTGAAAACATGGGGGTTTTCAAGAACTGAAATCTTATAAGTTGGACATCTTTATGAACATACCCGACAGTTACACATGCATATATATATATATATATGTGTGTGTGTGTGTGTGTGTGTGTGTAAATATATCTATGTACATCACAGCTTTAACAATTACAGCAAGAAATGATGAATATAACAAGATAAAATCTTTATTTCACAAAGACAGTTGAGAGAAACATACCGATAGAAGTTTATTTCTTGAGAATTTCAAGATACTGTTCTTCCATAACAGATAGATGCTATGTACAGATTCTTGGACCATTTCTCCTGTTGAGATACAAAAATAAAATAAATTGCTGTCTGCATTGTTAATTATTATGTTTTGGTTCGTAAATTCAAGAAAAGAAGAATACCTTGACATGGGTACTAGGAAAAGCAGATGTCCGAAGAGTTTCTTGAGTCACATCTTGTGATCTCTTTTTAGATGTACTGAGTATGAAAGCCGCTTGATCTTCAGTTGCCGCAGCAGCCGTAATCCGGTAGCCGTTTTCCCATCTTCTGTGAATCCCTTCACTAGGATACAGAAAATCGAGTTCAACCACCTGCAGATAAAGCCAAAAATACGTAAGTTTTGAGTCGAATTTTCGTATGAGAACAAGTAGTGGATGGAGTGATACCTGATTAGAGTAAGGTGCATCTCGAGACATCACAATGCCCCATCGACTACCTGCAGTCGTCATTGAGGTTACCAAAAAGCCTTCTTTCCATTTTTTGTTGATCCACTTGAAGGGGAAAACATCGCTCACTTTATATGATTGTTGTGAGTATGGCGTCCCTAGGAAGAGATCAAAAAGAGAGAAACCATCATCCACCGCTCGGGAATCATACAGTAAACCAAACCAAATTGACCCAGTAAATCCCACTCGGAAGTAGGGTACACAGACCTGACCTCTGCCCTAATAAGTAGAGCAGTTGTGCAAGAGTGTGAACAAACAGATAGCACAAGAAAATTGAGAAAAAATAACAAGTAGTAAGGAATGAAACAGTCACCAGAATAAATAAATAATAGAACTTACCCTTGGACATTACAACCAAGGCACTGCCGTTAGACGCACCAGCGAGTGATGTGATGTAATAATTCTTCTCCCATTGCTCCATAATCCATTCCTTCGATAGACAAAAACGACTTATAGATATGCTTACGCAAATAATATTATATGTTGTACTGTTGTAGCAGGAAAATCTTTACCTTGTGCAAGAAAACTGGGGACAGCTCGTAGACTTGTGAAGTGAAGCCTGTGCCGGCATCCATGACTATAGCCCACAAATTCGATGCAGAAGCAACACAACTAATATTTAAACCATCGTTCTTCCCTTTTTCTACATGCTGGTGGAGTCTTGAATCCATTACATTGTAGTAGTACCTGCGTGTTCGTATTTTTAACAAAAAAAAACGTTATTCAGTACCAAATAGAACCCAAACCATTCTAACAAGAACGAACTTTCACGGCCTCAATTTGATCATTTTAGTAATCTCTCACACAATGGATCCTTCCGGCCAAAGGGGACTACAACATTTGACTGATCACGTAGTTTTATGGAACAAAAGGTCTTGCATGCCCTCCAACAAGGATAAACCAAGAGAATCTTGCCATCAATAAGAAGTGGTCACTAAACCTTCATGGTTTTTTTTTCACTTCCATACTTGAATAGAAAAGCTTATCTATGATCTATCACATACTTAGATTCACACAATTGTATCAGTTTCTGGCGTACTTTTCCGCAAGCTTTCTTGTTCTCACACTTTTCACAAGCCTGGGGTCTTCTCTACCCCTTGGAGTAGAGGAAAGGTTTGAACACATCCCACCTCTTGGTGAGATATAATGGGCTCATTTGGTTTGGTTTACAATCATTCTTGATCATTGTTAGCCAAATTAATGAACTAAAATCGAGATTTGAGGAGTTTAATTAGTCAATAAAATGAAAGGTCATTGCTTTAACGTAAAACATGATTAACTGTTGTGCACTCGTATATGTGAGACCTCCCCTCAACCAAATAGAAAGGATATTGATAAATTAATGTAAGAATTGAAGTATGTACTTTAGGTATCACAAAGCATGAAAAATTGTAGTGTAATCGTTTTTGAAATTTGCTAATCAGAGAAACATTGCAATATTTATGGACATCCCAAAGTAGAAGTTATTGAAATTTCAGTATGTGACGAAGGATCGTGTGAGAATGGAAGTTACATTGAGAAGCGTAAGAAGGGATCTAGACCCTTGATCACTTTTAATTCAGCCCCACCCATGAATTGCAGTTATCACAGAAATTGATCTGGCGCATCTCTGTGCACCGTATTCGTGTTGATCTTCAATAGGATTGATCCAAGGGTGAGATCCCTTCTTACCCTTCTTATCATAACTTTCATTCTCACCGGAACCCAACCCTTTAATATGAAGGGGAGTAAACCAAATCAAAAGAACCAAGTATATCCCACCCCGAGGTGGATTATGGAGAGGATAAGATATATGCATACCTGACCTCTACTACAAAGAGTGTAAAAACTATTTTGACATTGTTTTTTTTGTACCTTTGTTTCATTGGCGTTCTTGAAGTGTAAATAGAAATCCATTGGGTGGCGGGAGTTCCTAGCCGAATTTTCTTCCTAGGCTGAGCATCATCTTCCAAATCAATAAGCAGCCTTCCTCTCTTTTGTCCCACCTATAACACACAAATATCCACTATTACTTCATGAAGCATCAAAAGAGCAAATTTGCAGTTGTAGAAATCATACCTTTAAGGCACCATCTATTCTGACTGGCCGCAAAGATGCACTTGAAACTAGGCAGTTTTCAAAGAGTCCAATAAGCTTCAAGTAGTTTGGTTCTTCATCGAATTTCATGTTGGTCACCGTTTCAAGGAATTGTTTAAAAGGGGATGGGCAAAGATAGCAAAGTAAATCGGGAGAAGTTGCCATCTTCTTTTTGCAAACAAGAAACCCTTTGTTTTCTCCCTACAGTTGAAGAATTGTTACAAGTTTTAAGCATTATATCAAAGGATAAATTTACAAAAATGAATATTTACATGACATTTTAACTTCAAATGCTTTTGCACATACCCTTCAATTTCTTCAATGAAAGTACGAAAATATTGAAACAATTAAATGGAACCCCAGAAAACTGTAAGCACCCAACTTTGAAGATTGCAACGATTAAAATCCACAAAATTAAAAGGAAACAACTTACGATTAAAATCCACAAAATTAAAAGGAAACAACTTTGGGTATCTTGAAATGATTCCCTTAAAACCCATGAAATGCAAAGCACCAAGCTTTATAAAATTACTCTTTCTAGAGCAAATCTCAATTCTAATTGATAAAGATATGTTAGAAAATAACGAAAATAAAGATCAAATTCCCTAAAAAAGAAACAAATTAGAAGTTCGAAAGTTGATAAATTTTAGAAACAAACTCACAATGAACCCTTGCCATGGAAGCTTTCCTCTGAGGAGAAATATTAAGGTATATGCCAAAGACTCAAGGTCATCCCTTCTGCTTCCCGTCCTCCCTAAATGGGCATGCACGCTTGCATAACGTACTGTGCCCCTGTCAGGAGAAAACATGAAACATATAGAAGAAATATAAATGAAGTTAAGCCAAGAAAACACAATGATGACATTTAAAACCACAAATATCATCCAAGAATGCTTCAAGTGGAACAAATATTACCTGAAAACGTCAGGCTTTTGGTCATAATCAACATGATTACCGGAAGATGTGTCCCTCCATTTTGAAGCTAAAGAAATAAGGATATCAAGTCGTCAGAACTTTATTTATGATGTGTTGAACTTGAACATTATAGATATCCCGAGCCTAAAATAGTATCGGAGAAATACTTACCTAAACCAAGATCAACCAAATACAACTTCTTCTCATTAGGTGTCCCAGGCTGACCGAGCAAAAAGTTTTCAGGCTTTACATCTCCATGAACAAAACTGAGAATTGGAAAAAGATTTGCGTTCACATGTTGATAATAGAAACTGAAGTACTTATCTAAGATCAAAATTTTTTGAGTGGGTACCCTCTTAAGTGAAGCTGCTCTAGTATCGATAACGCTTCCACTGCTATACAGGCAACCATTTCTTCAGAGAGACTGTACAAAAGAACAAATTTTAAACTTACATACAACTTTAGGGGGGAAAAACTTCAATAAGATATTAATTATTCACTTACATTTGGTTGCTAGAGTTCCAAACATCCCATAAACTCGGTCCTAGTTTGTCCATAACCTAGACCAAAAACAAAGATCACAATAAGCACCAATGAATCACAACCACAAAGAACAATGAAGAGAGGTGGAGAACTCACAAGGATATAATAGTCTCCTTGACGGCCTTTGTGATGGACCATCGGAACTCCGTAACACCCATTGAGGGTACTTCAAGCAAAAAGATTCAAAAACCAATTAGCATTTAGAATGCATTTTATGTATGTCATAACAAATTATAACATTGTTGGGGGTTTTCCCGGCTGTTATCTTCAAGCCCATGAGATCAAGGTACACGCAAGCTAGCCCGAACACCCACGGTTACCAGAAAGAGAACAAATATCAACACTGCTCACCTGTATACTTGCCACTCATAAGGAGGACCATAACTACATCCCTTGCCATTTCGATGCTCCAACTTTAAAGCAACCTGCATTCCAATATCCCAATAAAATCAAGCATTCACATACCAATGAGATGATATTTGTAAAAAGAACATACCTCAAGTGCATCGGGGCCTGTGTTTCCTGAGCCACCAGTCACCCTTCTCCCTACGTAAACTTGACCAAATCCTCCTTTGCCGAGTTTTCTTTCCAACTTGTATGAAGGGGAATTTCCAACTTGAACCTGAAAGTGAAAATTATGTAAGGATCTTGAATATAACTACAAGGACCTTGCTCTTAAAATCCAAAAAGTTTTACTGTTTTTATGTTTATTTTCCTAGCTCACATCAAGCAATAGTATCTTGATTTTTATATGTCAGTGAACCTTGAATTGTATAAGATTTGTTTCAAGATTTCAAAAAGCAAAAGATTATAGATCTAATCAAAGGATATAATTAAATTAAGTAAGCAAACAATAGGAACACTCAAAGTGGTAGGACATTTCCCCCAAAGCAGAAAATATGGACAATCCATATTGATCATCAAAGTCCTTGTTCGTAATCAATAGTGATAATAACAAGACGCATAAAGAAATACAAATATGAAGTCATTAATGTTTGCTAAAATCAGATGGAAATAATACCCTTTCAGGAAGTGGGCTCGTGCTTCCTTCATCCTCTGCATCGGCAGCCAATTTTTCCGCACTTTTACCAACAACTAATGGATTACAAACTCCAACATCCAAATTCAAGGGCGCACGACCAACTCCAGCACCAAATATCTCAGGATTTTTATCTTGATCTGTTGGTCGACTCCCTCGTCCTCTGCCAGCTGGTCTCGGCATTGGATAGGGATACCCTGGGACAGCCGGACCGGCGGCAGGTGATTTCAATGCCTGAGCTTTGCCACGCCGGGTCCCACGACGAGGAGTTGGGGCTAAAAGAGCGGCATTATCCTCAACATTATTAGCTTTCTTAGCTTGGCGAACTCCACGTCTCAAATCCGGCATCTTCTTCCATGCACAAAGATCCTCCGACCTCTACAGACGATATACCTATAAACCACCATAAAAATTTCAAGAAATCACCTTGATATGTGCACAATTGCAGAAAAATACCATAACTTTTTAATACACATAAGCATTACCCAACCAAAAATCTTTTGGCTTTTTTACTCACACGTCCCATAAATTAATTCGACAATAAGTTATGATCTTGTTCTGCATTGTACCATATATTCTTATCATCAATTTGCAATAACACCTCATCTAAGATTTTCATTAGTGCCTCAAGAGAAGCGAAGGCGCTAGGATGCTTTGAATAAATCCATAAGATGAAACTCTTGGCCCTAAAAATATCTTCTTCTCATTATCTTGAATCTATACGTAATTCTTTTTCTCTATGAAGCTTCAATCAGTGGTATCTTATTACTCTATTTCTTGTGTAATGTTGTGTTTCAATATTTTAACCTCGTCATAAGACTATTCCCTAAAATAGAGTATATTTCCCTTTTTGGGAATGCATACAATCTTGAAAATGTAGACTATATTGATTCAAAAAAGGAAGCACACAAAACAGAATAAAGTACTATGAATGAAATTTGTATATAGAACCTAAAGATACGTAATTAAACAAATGTAAATATTCATTAATACTACTTTATCAGAAAAAATCATGTACGTTCGTTTTCAGAAATTCCTATTTGGGCTAATTTCTTATTCATACTCCAATTACAAACTTAAAACCATGACCCAAGCACAAAAACAAACACAAATCTTGAGATGATTTTAGATGTGGTGACTCCATTTGGCTAATCGTGTAGTTTAGTGAATTGAAACAATACAAACAAAGCACCAACGAATGAATGAAAATACTGTACATGGTAAATGTTACAATCCATAAGCAAAACATGGATCAGATCATCATATAACAAGCAGAAACTCATCCAGAAAACATGTTATTATAACAAGTGATTGACTATTGCTAACCAGCATACTAGGCTTCTACTGCAAAGCAATGCCATTCTCACAAGAATGCAAATAGAAACACTACACTTTGCAAGAGGTTTTACAGAAAAAATGCCAACCACTATTATTCTTGTGAAATTTAAAGTTCAACAACTCATCCAAAGTTATTCATTCTTGTAAACTATAGCATTTACAGCATTACCACACAATTGATGGTCAGTTTGCAACGAAAAGCATAGTCAGACGATCAGAATGTCAATCACTAGGAACAATTACTGATCTTCAATCTGCTAAAATCACAGTATCTTTGATATAACCAAATTCAATTTGAATTTACTTAGTTATCAGGAAAAAAATCAGAAAAGCAATTTCTTTTTTTGTTATAATGATCTAATGAATCACACACAAGAACAAACCAAATTTTGCTATCTATCAGTTGTAAGATCACTTGTGAATACAATCTACAAACTCAAATAATCAAGAAGAGATCAATTTGATACAACATCAACAATGATCGTCAAACAACACAAACATTTCATAACGAAAAGATCAAAAAACCCATTCAGATACCCAAAAGAAACAAGAAAAAACATAGATAATAAATGCATAAATGTCAGATTTAAACAGGCACAGACAGTACAATCTAAAAAAGCAAAAGATAATCTAAAATTTGAGAAAAAGATTATACCTTGGAGTAAATAACCAAGTGCCCAGATGATTGATTGATAAGGGTTTCTTAAGATTGAATCGAAGAGATTGAAATCTCGATCAAAGATATGTTTGGATTTCTAAATTCCATGGGATGAGTCTAGGAGAGAGAGGAGGTCGGTAAGTCGATGGGGGTTTGCGGTCGAGGTGTGTGTTGTGTGAGGGATATGGCGCATGGAAAGACGGTGTAAGGTACGTATGGGCGTACGATAGCAACGTCTCTCTCTATTACACCGTGGTTGTTTGTGTTTATCAATGGCTATGTGCTGGTGCGGATTCACCCTTAGATTTAATGGGGCCTTGTTAATGGCAAATGGGCTCCTCTTCCTCATGCTCTAGCTCTTCTCTGGGCTCTTTCTTTTTCCATTTTTTATTTCTTCTTTAAAACTTGACCTAATCCGACATCTCCAATTATATATATACTAGTTGTTTACCCGTACAATACGGCGGGATTTAAAAGATTTATTGAGATTTATTCAATTTTGAAACATCAAATTATTTCAAGATGTCATAAGCCTACAACATTTGTAGCAAAATTAGATTCAAATAACCATCCATGTGAAATKCTAGTATTAGTAGCTTCTGCAATCATCTGTAAAAGAAAATCTTTTATGTGGAATGTGTATAATATTAAACATTTTAATTGTAATTATATGTGTAAGGAATAAGATTAACAGTGACCATCCGATCCCATTGAACGATAAATCTTATCAACAATCCTTTCTAAGGCAATGTATCCAAAATTCCAAAATAAGTTACAAGGATTGAAGGTATGGAATTTTAAATAAACTTTTTGGGTCATTCCTAATCCTCTGGGAATTTTTACTCAAAATGATTAACAATTACAAGATCATACAAGACCAAATTTTACAAAAAGAATGTGTCAACATCGTCATTAAACAAAATGAGGAATATGTTTTGAATGAGATTTAACTCGACATCCTAATATATCTTTCAAAACCCAACACAAAATGAGACTTAATTCAACATTAGTGACATGTATTAATTCGACACAACACCCAACTTTCTTCAGCAAATTCTTTATTGCCACCATAATCCTAGCCGAACTTAAGTTATCACTCTTCAACAAATTCTTCCAGCCTCCAGTTATAATCATTTATTGCCACCATAATCATCTGCTACAAGTGTTATTTTTAAAGATTTTCTTGATTCATATAGCTTTACCTCTGCGCCTCGGATTCTCGTTCTCTACGATAAACAAATACCATATTGAACACCACTCTTCTAACCGTTCTGGTCTTTCTCCTCCTTTTAATCGAACCTGTCTTCTTTTCCTTCTTATCTGCAGGTTGTGAAGTGGGTACATTCTAAATCCAAAATACTGGCACCAATGTTGCTAAAAACTATATCATGATTCCCAAAGGAAGGTTCGAGTAATCAGCTGATGTTATTCTAAGAAAATACGCAATTCCGACTCCCAAATATCCATTACAAATTGACGATAAACACAGGGCCGAGACCAAGAAAGACATCAGCGATCTGTCACAACCTGCAAGGGCTAAACTTGCGAAAAGGACTTGAAAAAGCAAGAATAATAAAAATGATCAATCTCACTCTCATAGGCTGTTAAAAAAGAGACCCTAGTTTAATAATATCGGGTAAAATGAACCTACCATGCACGATCAGAGTTGTATTCCATCTCTAACCGCATACTCTCAATTATCTCTGTATTGTGAAACTTCTCCTTTTCAAAATCTTCATTTTGCACCACAACAAAATTAGAAAAGGTCAAACAAAGAGAGCACATTTGTCCCCAAGATAAAATGCCAGATGCTTACTCTATTCGGGAATGGAAAACAAGAAAGAAAAGAAAGTGTGATTTTACCTCATAGGGTAGTGGATTTTTCACAGAGAGTGGTTGCTGAGACCTTCCACCAGATCTTGAACTTGAAGATCTAACTGACCCAGATACCCTTACTAGGACTGGCGATGATGCCACACTGTCCTAGGGAGAAGCAGCATGCCCTGTTGGAGTTCTGATAGTAGTCAGTACAAGCAACCAATAGTAGAAAGCATAATATCATAAGTATGCAACTCAGACCGACAAAAAAGAAGATTGATGCTAGAAAGAAAAGCCTGAAAAGATTGTAGTAATGTGTTTCTGTTTGTTGTTTTCTTGTGGTTGAATTTGTTGAATTAGGGACCTGATTGATGACTCAAAACTCAGCTCTTGATATGTTATTTCCAATGATGTTATTATTTCCAATGATGTCTATTCATAAAAATCCATCTTTTTCATGAAAAACATCTCCATCTTTTATTATTATCATCCTTAAAGAAACAGACCCTATGTTCCTATTGATTTATGTCCAATCTTGAAACATTATGGGAACAATCAAAAGGCCCAAATTGAATCTGTTTCTACATTTTAACTTGGACTATGGAGTTTGCTTGTTATTTCAATCTTTCTGCCAATCCTTGCCCAATACAAGCAGTTACTCTCCTTTTCAACTCTTTCCTGTATAAAAGACCATTGGTCAAATTTTGGCCATCAAGAAACAACTACTATTGATCCTACAGTATCCGTGTTACTGGTAGAGTATATTATTTAAAGAGAACAACTATTAATTTATACAGTTGGCTTACATCGTCAGATGTCAATCGAGATATGAAGATGAGATCAGCCCTTTGTTTTCTTCTACTCTTCGTAGAAGGTAAGGCATGATCTCGTCAAACAGGTCGGAATGGCAAGTACTTGCTCAAGCTAAACCTTGCGTTTCTCAGTCCGTAACTCATAGCATCCGCCATTCCATAAAGTGACGCAAACTCCAGTTTATCGCTATCTTTCCCGATTCCCAAATCACGGGCCTTTTGGGCAGCCAGTTTTCCTGTATGGATTCATACAAAACGAAAGTCAGGCTGAAGCTATTTCACATTGAAATCTTGAACGTTGTCTCAAGAAATACCTCGTTTTCTTTTGTCCCTTGTTGTACATTATTGCAGCCGAATATGTGAAGTAATCAAGGCCCGGTGGGATAGAAGTATCCTTGGCATCTATAACTACGGGCGCGTTGCTTTCAAAGGCTTTATTACATATACTGATTACTCTTAGGTGGGCTAATTCAAGATCATGTTATTGGTCTGGTGTCAAAGGGGATGGTTGTTCTAATGTGTGGTATAAAGGGCTGCAACCCGCAAATATGGGCAGAGACTTTAGCTTCCATGAAAGTACAAATGAAGATGAATTCTTGAACTCCTATCTAAGAAGATCACTCACCCTCTATAGCAATGAGATCAAGCAAAACTAACATGTTCATAACATTAACATGTTCATAGCTCCAATTCATATTTTTAGTATATATCAAACAAGAAAGATTCATCAGATAAATTTCAAACAAAGAAAAGGTTTAAATCATAAAAAAAATGGGTTTCAAATCGCTTTGTAATAGCTATAAATCAAAACATTCCAAGAAACAAACAAGAATATTCCAAGAAACTTCAAGAAACCAATTCAAGAAAATGAAATGAAATACAGGGTCGATTTTAAAGGATTTAGAATATGGGTTTATCATATTTCTAAATCAGAACTCAAACATGAAATGGGGTTTTGGAAATCACAAACCAAAGAATGATCTATGGATTGAAAGAAGAAAGAATCTAATCTAGGAAGAACTTTTTATAACTTTAACACTTTCTATATGACTTTCCCAACGGGTAGTAGACAAAGATTTCAAAGTCAAATCATCAATAAACTCAAGTAAAACATTTCATCGCTTGGTAGAATTAGCAAACACATTGTATATTGTTTGACATGTTCCAAAAAAAGTTTTTGCTTTATGACAAGAATTTGCCATATCACATAAAACTAAGTTAAGACTATGGCAACCACATGGCATATAAAATGTTCTAGCATTTACATCAAGCAATCTTTTTTGAACACCTTGGTGTTTTCCTTTCATATTAGATCCATTATCATAACCTTGTCCTCGCACACAATTAATGTCTAAATCTAGAGATTTTAAAACATCTTGTAACACATTGAAGAGACCTAAACCAGATGTATCCTCTACAACCAAAAATTCTAATAAGAACTCTTCTACATTTATGGGAGCACACGACATATCAACACATCTTATAATCAAAGTCATTTGTTCCTTGTGACTTGCATCAGGAGTGCAATCAAGAATTACGGAAAAATACTTTTCCTCTTTGATTTTTTTAATAATCACACTCTTAACTCCAGATGCCAACACTTGAATCAGTTCATTTTGAATTTTATGGCTAAGATAATGATAATGAGTTTCTTTGTTTTTAATTAGCCGAAAATGTTGTTTCATGATAGGATCAAACTCCGCAATCATTTGAAATATACCCAAAAAATTCCCATTAGAATTTTGATAAATTTTTTCATTTGATCCACGAAAAGCCAAATTATATTGTGCTAGACACTTCACAACAACAATTATTCTAATCAAAACTTATTTCCAATGATTTGTATCTTTCTTAATCAATTCTTGTAATTATGCGAATGATGCACAATTTTTTTCGTATCCCAATAACAAAAAAACCTGACTTGAATGATCAATTGTTTGATTTTTATTCAATCTCACTCGCAACTCAGTCCAAGTTCTCAAGTTGATCATATGCTCAGAACTATTTTCATGCAAACTTAATGTTTCACCTAAATGCCTACAATCATTTATCCCTTCGGTAGCTAATTGACTTTTAGACCAAGCAGTTTTGATTATCTTACAACAAAAACAAAAAACTTTATCCAACTCTTTTGAATAAACCAACCATTTTCTATCATAAGAATCACCATTTCGTAATTTACGGACGTAATGTTCACAAGAAAAATGTCTACATACTTTATCATTTGGAAAGTTGATGTTGGTTTCCCTTATAAGACCTTTTTCAGCAAGCAAATCTTTCATTTTTTAATCTAAATCATCCCAAACCCTTGGATCAAAAATATTCAAAGTAACTTCATCATTACATGGATTTTCATCGTCCCCAACTTCATTAGTACACAGATTTTCAATATTTTCAACAAAATTATTGGGATTTTCAGAAACATTTTCAGTGGATTTTCATAAACATTCTCAGTGGGATTTTCAATAACATTTTCAGTGGGATTTTCAAAAACATTTCCAATGGGATTTTCAGACACATTTTCATGCCTAACAAAATATCGATTTAACGATCCCTGTAAAGATTGGGCAATTTCTTGTTGTATTTTCTTTCTTTTTC